TGTTTGAGTTGAGCTGACCCTCATTTCAGAGTCTGTAATTGAGTCCCAGATGATATTCATCTTCAATGCAATAAATACTGAATAAATATGCAAGTTCACAATAATTAAATCTATCAGTTATGGAATATGTGTTTAACTTCTCAGGCAACAAAATCTCAATGTTGTGCCAGTCTGGCTTCTTCTTGTAAACAGTTCAACCATTGTATACACAGTTGTGGTCACTTTGTAACTATTCAATTATCCTGATGTGATCGCTGTGATTCACAACCAGACTTTCTTGCCCAAATTCTTCTGCACTTTTTCTTATTTTTTTTCAATATTTCTGGAAATGAAGAAAGTTCGAGTCAATTTGAAGATTTTGCTCAAACAATCACCTGCATTTGTGTACCAGAAAATCCATGGAATTAATAAATTTCATTTATTACTAGTTAGGCTTAATTACAGATTACAGCGCCGAACAGAAACAATTAGAGAATATACCCAGGTCTACAAAGAACACCCTAGCGTAGCATTCTCTAAGAAAAGGGCTTTGCCCAGGGATCATCCCCAGCGCAATCACGCAACAGAGGCCTGACCGTTCTAATCTCACAAACGTTTCTGATGCGCCACAACGTGCCGCCGGAAGCTTGTGGGGAGGTGGGCGGAGTTACACGGGTTTTCTGGTAGGTATGATTAGGTAAACAATGAGGCACGGACAACCCTTTTAGATTACTACATCATCTACCAGAGTAGAGTAGCACGCTCACCAGAGGCGGGGAAGCTCCAACAACTGGAATGTACATTTTTCAACACAAAAAACAGAAAAGGTCAAAAAACTGATAGAAATCTAAAACTACTGTCCTGGAATACAACCAATCAGGTGATTCTTCAGGGACCGGGTGCTTCAGGAGTAGACCCCCCAAATTTAGGGAGGCTTACTAAACCCCGTCTCTGAACAATAAAATATGGTCCCAACAATTTTAATGCATAAAACAGTGTCTGACCTGTCACCACTGGACTCAACCTGTAGAGACCCTCCTCCAGCGTTTAGAGGTCTTTCAGGTAATAGTTAATGAAGACATTCTGAGATAGTTACTGTCATGAATCCCTGCATCAGATGAAGAGACCATCTTCATTATAGAGTTGTAGTGTAATCTGATTGTGTCACACACACCTACTTGTAGGCATAATCTGATTGTGTCACACACACCTACTTGTAGGCATAATCTAATTGTGTCACACACACCTACTTGTAGGCATAATCTAATTGTGTCACAAACACCAACTTGTAGGCATAATCTGATTGTGTCACAAACACCTACTTGTAGGCATAATCTGATTGTGTCACAAACACCTACTTGTAGGCATAATCTGATTGTGTCACACCTACTTGTAGGCATAATCTGATTGTGTCACAAACACCAACTTGTAGGCATAATCTGATTGTGTCACAAACACCAACTTGTAGGCATAATCTGATTGTGTCACAAACACCTACTTGTAGGCATAATCTGATTGTGTCACAAACACCTACTTGTAGGCATAATCTAATTAGTGGCCTCCACCAATTTACACACATGTCCGTTTATTCTGATGCAGCACCAGGTATGTCGCCCTCTAGAGGTGACACTTTCGATAGGTTTAATGAGAATAACCAAGTGGTCGGGCAAATATGCTTCCATATAGTAAATTGTGCAGCACTATCTGGCATCAAATGTTTTCAATTAGTTTGTAAAATATGTTGTGTAAATTTCAAGGTATAGTTTTGATTAAGATTACTTGCCACCCACGTCTTCACATCGTAAAGTCTATGCCAGGTAAATTAAAACACTTAACAAATAACAATAATTATCACAGTTGTCATTGTAAGACTATTCAAATAATCTATGCACAGTTGTGGGGAGAATGCTACTATTCAATCAGTAATATAGTTTGGGCCAGTTTAAAGCAATTCAAGTCGTCATTTTTGGCACTATTCAACTAAATGGTCATATGAGAAACCGGATTTCTTTGTCATTTACTCTTAGACTTATTTTGTTTTTACTGTATACAATTTTGATATCAAAATATATGGTCATCAAACTCGATTTTGTAAATAAAAATTATTGAGCCATTCAACATTGGTTTCTATGATAAAAAATCTCAAAATTTTATTTGGTTACACACGATGAAAAAATGATGTTTGTGGTTGTCAAGAATTATTTGAACATTCTGAAGATTACTATTATATCTGTTACAGTGACGCCATAAGTTACAGCGTGCCGTAATTTTTACGGTTCATCCTACCATATTAGGAAATGTGAATTCCAAATATGGAATGATTATGTGGGTAAGCGTTTTCTAATAAAAAAAAAAAAAACAGTGCTGCCACCGGATTTGATCGGACTCCACACAACGAAGTTTGCCGATTCTGTTCTAAACATTTTGGATTTCGGCATTCCCATGATGTATAATAATGTTATTACAAGGATACCTAAAAGTATGCACTGTGATATGTCTGTGAATTGGTGTATCAAGGTCCACATGTATGAATTGGCAGAGCAATTGTGGTGTAGCAGTTTACAAGATGTTGGAAAATAACAAATATACCATTCAAGATGTTCAAATCTAAGCGGTCCACCCAGAAACTAGTTTTACAGTTTTTAAGAAGTCACTTTAAAAGAAAAGTTTATGTGACACGACATACAATCACCTGTCATCTTTGGAGTCTGTGAGATCAATTGAATCTTACATAGATAGATGTTGTAATCATACGTGCAAACAAAAATTACTAATAGATTTAGTAAATGGCCATTAGTATAGCCTTGATATTTTTACCACCCAAAATTCAGTTGAAATATTTGAAAGTTAAATTGTCACTGAATTTCATCATCATTTTCGTTTATACAGTATCAGATAGTGATTTTAGTTTTTGATCAAAAGGTTAATCAACTTTTATCAATATTTCATGGGTGGATGAACAGACTACAGAAGCAGAAGCAGAATTATTAAAATACTAGTACATAGTCACCTATTAGTTTTCAGTGTGGAATCAACTTGCATGGGTTCATTTTTTTTTGTTCTGCATTGTAATATTGCTAGAATGAACTCTTTATTTGAGCAGACATCTCCTTGTACATCCCACACCACACCACATATTTATTTAATTGTATTCAGGAAATGGATAAAAAGCCAACACAAGCCCTAATTGCTATTTTTTTTTTTTTTTTTTTCCACAGAATAATTTTTTTTTTTACAAATTTTTTTTAAAGTTTGTGTTTATAATTCATTTTTCATGTACTTTTCTTGTTCTGCTGTTTTTGGAGGAAACTTTGCAAAAAAGCTATGACATGTAGATAAACCTTAATCTAGCACTCGTAGTCCTGACAACAATCACCAGTAAACAACACATGGGCACACCTCTGACAGAATCTACAAAGGATTTTATTGTAAAAATGAATATAAGATAAGACTAATCACAGTTTTGACAGTTACACCATGTCACATTCAACTTTCATCAGTTGGGATTTTGAAGACTCATTCATTTTAAACACGATTAAAATTATAATTCAGTCAGTAGTTTTCCTTCTCCTGAAATGACAAAGAATGTCAATGTTTTCATACATCTGAATGAAACTTGACCCAAAACTTTCATTTTCATTAACAGTACCTATGTGACATAACGTAATCTTCACATACGACAGATTTACTTTAACTATGAAATATCACTGTTAAAACTACAACAAACATATAAACTTTGTTTAGATCGATATTAAAAGACAATAGGATAAAAATATAAAACGAGAAGATTTAGCACCAATGAATAAAATGTAGCTGTCCTCCGATGACAAAAATGATTGTAGACTAGTACACAATACAGGGATGTGGCACCTGAACACCAGGGACAGCTTGCACCACTTGCACCTTAGTACTCAATTTCATCTGCAACAAAACAAATTCCATTCTGTAAAAATAAATACTAATTAATAAACACTGATATACTTTTATTAACCGCAATACCTGTCAAAATAGTTAACAAAGAGAACATAGAGAGAACTCCTTTGTGCTGAGAGTATGAGAGACGCATACCAAGTAAAAATAGGGAATATTAAAATTAATTCAAAATTGAGGATTAGTTTTTTAGACGTTTGAGGTACACAAGTTAAAAAAAAGATGTGAACAGAAGTGTACACCAGGAGCCATATACTAATATTGACCACTTCATAATGCAGCTTTGATAAAATTAAATACTTATTAGCTAAGTTTTATTTTCATTTATTTATAAAATGTCTGCCAGAAATACATCCAGTTAATATTTCTCATTCTACAGAACCAAGCCAGAGTTGTAGAGATATGCAAAATATGAAGCAATTTAACCACACCTACCTGGTTCTAGAAGCAGACAGTTTCCCCATTCAATGATGGACACCAAACCATCTCCATCATCATCACAAATTTCTAAGAAAGGTTTGGTACAATGTTCCAATCTCTGCAATGGTGCACGCAATTCTGCAAGTTCTCTCTGAGTCAAATATCTAAAATACACAATATGACACCGTTAACAAGATATCATTACAAAATGAACAAATCTGAGTAAAGCTTGATGTACCTTTAACAAGTCATTGTCAATGACACGTCCCTGTTCCATTCATATTTGAGTGACATATACATTCAAAGCAGATCATGGCCGAAATGCACCTGCATATGTACAACACATTGTGCTAAATCTGAACTTGATCAATCCAGACATGTCTTGGATACGGATCCAGAACTGAATTCTTTAACAAAATGGCCGCCAGTCGGCCATTTCGAACTTGATCCGAAAAAAAAGAAAGACGTGCATCAAGGTTCTATTATGTTCAATGTATGTACCAAATTTGAACAAAATCCATCCATGCATAACTGAGATACGGGTCCGGAATGGTGAAAATGTGCGATTTCAATGCATTTTCGGCCTTAAAGCGGCCCCCATTTGGCTATCGTTAATGAGATCATGAAACAAATGCACATACATATTTGTGACATGATGTACCTTGTGTGTGTGAAGTTTGAACTTGATCAATCCAGACATGTCTCGGATACGGATCCAGAACTGAATTCTTTAAAACAAAATGGCCGCCAGTCGGCCATTTCGAACCCGATCCAAAAAAAAAAATGACGTGCATCAAGGTCCTATTATGTTTAATGTATGTACCAAATTTGAACAAAATCCGTCCATGCATAACTGAGATCCGGGTCCGGAATGGTGAAAATGTGCGATTTTGATGCATTTTCGGCCTTAAAATGGCCGCTATTCGGCTATCGTTAATGAGATCATGAAACAAATGCACATACATATTTGTGACATGATGTACCTTGTGTGTGTGAAGTTTGAACTTGATGAATCCAGACATGTCTCGGATACGGATCCAGAACTGAATTCTTTAAAACAAAATGGCCGCCAGTCGGCCATTTCGAACCCGATCCAAAAAAAAAAATGACGTGCATCAAGGTCCTATTATGTTTAATGTATGTACCAAATTTGAACAAAATCCGTCCATGCATAACTGAGATCCGGG